GTCGAATCAAAATATGGATTTTTTCCTAACGTAATTTCAGATCATAAGCTAGTCATTGCTAATAAGTAAATTTCGTTTTCTCGCATGTAAACATAGTTCCCATTATTTCAAGTTCGCTTTGCAAGATCGGCTGCTCGGAGTAAAGGGTTAAGAGCGAAAAATAGATTTAAAGCAGTTCAGTTGTTGGCCCTTTACTCCTAGTAGCAAGTGGACTTGAAACAAAGTGAACATGAAACAATCGAAATTCGAGTTTCACTCGAAGAAACAAGATTTACTTATTAGTAATTTATTTATTATTATCGGATTTTTAAAAAAAGGCTACTCAGCAAAACGGTTATAACGTTTTAATGAAAAGTGCTATCAATCTGCGGTTTTCGGAAATCGAAAGAGGACATCAGGAGACACAAACCTATGCAAAAATAAAAAATTCCAAAATAATTTTCTGAGTTAGTATAACCCGGAAAAGTTCGAAAAAACAGCACATTTTCCAAAAAAAACTTATCTTTATTTTTTTCGGCACTTTTGTAGAGCGAGCGTTCTTCTTTCAAATGGTATCTAAGCAACCCCAAAAATTTTGGTTCCTCGCCGAGTTACAAGCGTTTCAGAAATGGCCACTTTGTCGGGGACTTTGGCTTTTTTGAATTAAAAAATGTTGACACATAGGTAATCAAGTGCGTTGATCATGGTGATGTTATTAGTTTTCGGTTTGTAGTAAACAAAAATGATTAAACTGCGTTTTTTATATAAGTGAGTTTCCGTACGCCTAGGGAAATATGCGATTTTCTGAAAATCTCAATTTTTTTCGTCTTCAAACCGAAAACTAATATCACTACGATGAGCAGCGCACTTGATTACCTATGTGTCGACATTTTTTAATTCAAAAAAGCCAAAGTTCCCGAAAAAAGTGGCCATTTTTGAAACGCTTGTAACTCGCCGAGGAACCAAAATTTATACCATTTGAAAGAAGAACTCTCGCTCTACAAAACTGCCAAAAAAATAAAAACAAAGTTTTTTTGGAAAATGCGCTGTTTTTCCGAACTTTTCCGGGTTATAATAACTCAGAAAATTATTTTGGAATGTTTTATTTTTGCATAGGCTTGTGTCTTCTGATGTCCTCTTTCGATTGCCGAAAACCGCAGATTCATAGCACTCTTCATTAAAGCGTTATAACCGTTTTGCTGAGTAGCCTTTTTTAAAAATCCGATAATAGCTGGTGATATGAACTTACGCTAGTAAAAAATTCCATTTTTGATTCGACACATCGTCATCCTATTGTAGCGATTTTACATCCGCAGTTGCATCATCTGCTGTTCACGTTAAGAAGCAAGAAGATACCAATAAAGGCATCGTTATTCGTACATCTGGCAGGAAAAATAATTTTTTCACTGACCTAAATTAGCACTTGCTTTCCATATCATTTCCATTGTTTTTGTTTTATTACGTTGGTCTTTGTCTTGATAGTCAACACGACCAAAAAACGTACCGTCGAAACCCATCTAGAAGTATATGATACATTCTCCAATACATAAACCAATAAATTTTGTAAAGATGATACATTCTGAACCATGTTTAATATCTTTAATCTTTTTCGTCTTCTTACTTGAGCAAATAATGATGCTACTTCTCGAGAATGACCAAATGGATCAATCTGCCAACCAATTTTTGGCCTTGCACATTCACCAAACGTATCATTAAGAAATTGAAATCCTAAAGTATGTTGATCAATAATTGAATTATAATGTGTAGCTCCTTCATCATTCATACACCATCCACCAGAAATAAATTCTAAGCGGCCTAAAAAAAAGAAAGAAGAAACAGATTGTATGCAATAAAACAACCTTTTTTAAGCAATTACCATCATTAACAAGTTGTTTAACAGTATCTTGTATTTCTTGTGATTGTTGATTCCACCATCGCCAGAAAAATGCTATTTCCACATAAATAAAACGTCTTTCAGGATTTTGAACTAATGACTCTATGACTGAATCAAGTATATATTGTACACTTGCACGTTGTATATCACTTCGAGCTGTTGATCAAGCAAATTAACAAACACTATATGTTATTTTCGTTTAAGTTTTAAAGTACTTGAAACATACCACCATAATAATATTGATCGACTGTTTTCAACCAGCCAACATCATCATGAGTATGTGCAACTAAATGAACATTAAGTTTATCTGGTTGACCAAGGTTACATGCCTATGAGAATGAAAAAGCGAGAACTCAGAAAATGTAATATGACTGCCTTGTTTTTACCTCATATCCACAACTATTGAATGGTTTGACTTTATAAGGAGCACCATAACATGCTGCAATTATAAATGTCACAACAATTAGAATGTACATCTCGTAGATAGTTCTAACGTCACGACTGTAAATAGAACAATAATACAACTTTGTTTTTATATTTAAACGACCATAATTTACTGTGTAGGCTATAAATCACCGGTACTAGATGGAGATTGCGTCTAGAAACAGTAAGGGTAAAGAAGCATAGCGGTTACATAGCTCACCTAAAAATAACATACTTCTTCTTTCATTTACTGATAATAGATACCTTATATCTAATTACTCACAGGTGAAAATAGATAAAAACACATTCATTTATGAAAAAAACCTGTTCTAAGATGTGAAGACACCTTAAGCTCGAAACAATATATATAAAACTAGCATCGTAACTTTTGTTGTTCCTGTTTTTTCACAAAGGTTCGAAGTTTAGTCTTTTATGTAAAGTAAAAGTAATATTCAAGTTGCAATGAGTATTGTTTAATCATCAAAAAATCTGTTTTTGTTATAAGGCGTTCATTTCGTCAGTTTTCTAGCGATAAAACAAAACATCGTCACTCTTCGCTTAGACCGTCGGACTAGCAGCAGGCGTCAAAATTAGATCGCAATATAAAACCACCCTTTAGAACTCGACTTGCCGGACGCAATAGAAGACTAAGACTAAGTGATCTTCAATTATGGAGGGGTACTGTATTATTCAGCATATTCTTATCGATTTAGTTATATCCTTTACTATATAGGTAAGTATACGACTCTCAATTATTGTCTATCAGAATAGTGATATAATTGAATATTTCTTCGATAGGATTTCCGTTTTTATGACAACGTCGATATACCAACTGGCGACATTGAAAGTCAAAGTAGATACGAGACCGAGGATACACAATGAGAGGCACAAATTTAGATGATAGAATATTTTTCATTCATATATGTAGCATTGATTAATTATAAATTATTGTCTTAAAAAAACGTTTTTTAAAATTTTTTTGTCAGACCATAACAGCAGACTATTGACCATCAAGCAATGCATGAATGAGTTTTCTACGATTATTTTTGACTGAGCTACAAGTCTTTTAAAATGAGGGCTAGGACTTCAAATTTTAATTAAAATTAAATTTAATTGATTAATAACTCTTACCATATTATCAATTCATCGAACGAACATAAGGATATATGTAATCAGATGCCCTCTTTGAACTGACACAGTTTGAGGGCACATATTTGGAGGTGGACTCCCGTTAAGCTTTGAGGGTGACAAAGACTCGGGAAATTAATAACACGACTCCCCAAAATAACAAGCCAATGGAATCTTCTTCAACGAAGCTAGGTAGAAGGTTCTAATAGATATGTTTTACAACCGCCTATTCGTTACAGAAAAGCCCAAGCCTTGGAAACTTGGACTGGTTCTTACTACGAGCGCAGTCCTCGAGACTGCCTTTCTGTAACTTTTCACTAAACTCATGTTAAGATTATATACGTAGAACATCACCGAAATAAAACGGTTCCTTTAACCGCAATAAACTCGCGTGATTCATAGAGAATTGTTCACTTTCGTTGACGTCGACTAATTAATGAGCGATCAAAGTATTAGTGTTAGTTAACATGTTAGTAGGTTCGAAAAAGTTTCAGATATGCAAGGGAACATGTTCTGTTCAATTAGATTTCTCACATCGTAGTAAACCATTTTTCTCTTACGGATGAGTATTTTTTGAAATGCGACAATATACTTAGTCACATTAGGTCAAACTATGTCATTTATGAAAGTTTCAACAGTTTTTAGTGGAAAACTAACGATTTTGGAAGTAGTAGCGTAACCAGGAATCCGTGGGTAGTAGGGCAGTGCCTCACGATCTTTAAAAAAATCTATTCACGATAGTTTTAATTTTTTCCACAACTGAAATTAGGGATGCACCGAGACGGGGTACTTGATACCCGAAACTTTAGTCTCGATTAGTCCCGAGTCTCGAAAGTTTCGGTCTCGAATAGTCTCGAGTCTCGAGACTTTAGTGTCGATTAGTCTCGAGTCTCGAAAGTTTCGGTCTCGAATAGTCTCGATATAAAAGTGCCGGTAGCAAAACTTTCCGAGACTTTTTCTAGACTATTTTTTTTGTTCTGTATAGAAGATTTCTTTGGTGAAATAT